GGAGTGGGCCAAAAACGAGCAAAAATGGCCCATTTTTGTGAAAACGGGCCTGTTTTTTGCAAAAGGCATGGATGGCCTTTAGGAAGCTTATAGAGTGCTCCTGGGGGGGGGGGGCAAAATTGAGCAAAAAACTGCCTTTTTTCCTGCTCATTTCTGCCCTCCCAGTCCCTGAGAGCCCTCTGAAAGCTTCCTAGAGGCTATGCACGGCCATTTTGGTGAAGGGCAGAGTTTCGGGAGGCAAAAAGGGCTGTATTCAGTGTGCAAGACGCACCCAGATTTTCAGCCTTTTTTTGAGGGGAAAAGGTGTGTCTTATACTCCGAAAAATACGGTACATCTCACTCAAGGATATATTTTCACAAATGGGTCGAGGCAACACCTTCTAGCATGATGTTTGACAATTCTGGGTATTATAATCCTATACGTTTGGAGATCACTTAAGCGCTGTGTAAGGTCCTGTATCTCCAGTCTTCTCAAGAAAGCAGAACTCTTGAAACAACTATCATTTCAAAATGAACTTTTATTGAAAGACGTGATAGCAAAGGAAATGTAGGCAGGATCTGTAGTTTCCTACTCAAAGCGTTAGGTTAAATCGTTGCAAGCAAAGCCCCTCCCAATGTCCATTTCAACATTGAGCCAGTCCCAAGGTGCAAAGATGTTTTGAGAACCTCGGGCAGAGAAAGTGATAACAGTCAACTCCCAGGTGCTTTGGTTTCACTTTCTTTGGTGGTGAGATAAAGGAGATGGCTTAAAGCACATTATTTTTCCCTTCCTAAGATGATCTGAGGCAGATTCCTCTCTTCCTCCCTATTTCCCATGAGATACAGCAAAAGAAAGCAAATGAAACTCTATGCACAGAATCCCCACCCCCCGGCCTCCCACCAGAATGGCAGCATCCCTATAGAGAACTATGGAACCTGACAGGCTGCTTTAGAAAGGCTTAAACAATATTTTGCATTTCTGTAGAAAAAGGCACTTTTTTCACGCTTAATTCTAGTAAGTTTCTCTACTTGACCTCACAAATAATGATCTCAAGGATCGGGTGCAGGACGCTGCTAAATTGTAATTGTCTTTATTCTTTGTAGGTAGAAAACAATTGCTTTCAGTCTCCGGCAGCAGCACCTTATACAGCAGCGGAACCGAATCCGAGTTTGAAGGCAGGAAGCATGAGGAGGAGGAAGACATTACAGACATTCATTCAGAATGTGAAACGGAAACCACCAAATCTCAACGGGAAGGAAGTCAGGGAACTGATGTGGAAGAAGAGGAAAACTTGGGGGAAACAGAAACAGAAAGCTTGAGCACCAAGATTGTGCCAGATATCTTCTATGAAGAAAAAGTGGAGATGACCCTTCAGGACATGAGTCCGGGCCATGACAAGCCCAAGATGATAGGGCTGGTAGACATGGGGGAGGAGGAAGAGAAGGATAAGTTAGTGCATTTGAAAAGCAGTGCTCTAGAAGGATATCCGAGCAGGAAGATTTCTGAAGATAAGGAAGGTGGTGAGTACAGTTTGAAGAGATCTGTAATAGGTTTGCTGAATACAAGTGTGTTGCTTTATTGATTCTTAAATGAATGCTGATTTTCTGGCGCCATGTTTTGATATTGCATATGAATAAAAACTCTGCTTGAATCTTCCTAAATCTATTTCTGTCCTTGAATGGGGCAAGATTTTGCTTTGATATATGTGCCAGATAACTGGTAGAGTTTTGTCTTGAAATTGCTTCTTCCAAATGCTGGAATTGAGGACTGTTGCATATATGGCTTTTGTGAGTCTTTCTCTTGTCTCCGTCACTGTTGTGTATGGGACAAATGTTTGACTCAATTAATTTAATTTCTAGTTAGCCAGGGACAAAGAGAGGAAATGAATCTTAGATCAGTGAATATGCCTGGCATTGATAATGACCATCATTGAAATCGCAGTTGTAGAATTCGCACAAAAAGAACAAAATCAAAGTAGTTGTATATCTTTTGTAAAGACTCAGAAACATAGTATCTAAAACAAATTTTTGTGTCTTTTTTATCATTTGGAACAATGAATTGGGAGCCCCAAATACAAGATATTTTTTCAGATTTTTCATGACCATGGAGAATATGGATTGCCATATTTAGGTTATCCTTCTTTATTCTCTATTAGATTATTTGACCATCTAGGCTACCATTGCTCAATACAACCTTTCCAACCTGTTGCCCACTAAATATATTAGGCTACAATATCCAGAATTATAACCCATGTTCTATTTTTTGTGAATCATAAAATACATATTATTTACATGATCATTCCTGATTCCTGTCTCAGATCCCTTTGGAAAGAAAGACAAAAATATTCTATTTTGTTTTAATTTAGCTCATGATGGAAATATTGTAAGGGTGAATCAATTCATACTAATTAGCATGCTATCAGTGGTGATGCAGGCATGAAAGAAAGCCATAAGTCATGCTAATATTTTTGATTTGTGGTTTGGAATATGTTCCTTGGATGGCAATACATTATGTTCTTGCTTGATTTAATAGATTTTGATAGATTGTTTCATATTACTTTGTGTTACTGGATTTACTAGTTTGGCAGGGGAAGAAAATTATAAAAATGGTAATTGTTTGCTAGCATCTTGGTCCTGGATTGCTTTTCATTGCCTTGCAATTTTTATGTATAAAACATGGAGGAATATTGAAAAAAAATACAGTTCTGGATAATTATCCTGAATTATTTATAGGTGTTTAGTTGCTTGAGATACTTTTCTTCATCCATATGCTAGGTTTTCAATATGAGTGACTTTGCAATTACACTGTTAGATGAGATGAATATTTAAGTACAACTGAGGAATGAAATTAACCACTTAAGAAAAATATATATAGAAGTACATATTCTAATATTAAATGCAAGTGTGCAGAAATCATGTAGGTTGAATCAATGGCCTGCCCCAGATTTTAGCATAAAAGAATATCGACATTTCTATTTTGCTCATACCGTGATCATTAAATGTGCGATGGTGGGCACAGTTTTCAGTGAGTACAGCATTTAGCAATCTCTTCAGATTTTGCCACTGTGACTGAAGGTAGTAAAAATGTCAACTACCAACACCTCTTTAAAAGAAGTTTTACAGAGTAGTAGTAAATGATATGGTATGCCTTGATGAATGTCCTGGCAAACAAAGAAAAAATCATTGGTTAACATTTTCTGAATGGGAATGTGACACGTGAACATTCTAATGGATGATTTCAACCTTGGCAAATGTTTAAGACTATATAATGTTTAATTAACCTATTAGATTGTGGTAAGAGATAAGATTCTAAGAATGGCCTGAAGCTCAAATGCTGTGATTGGTTTTGGTCATGTCCCTTTATTCACAGAACAATCCTCTATACACAGAATGACTCTGCTATTTTAAAGTAGGCCTCAGATTGCAACATTTGCCAATAGTCAGAGAAAAAAAGTTTATAAGAGTAGCCCAGAAGTGACATATAAAAGAAACATATATGTGAAAATGATGCATTATGTATTACAGGTAGTACTTTTCAAAGGCCTGTCAATTGAATGAATCTTATTTTTTAGCAGGTTGCCCAAATTCAGTGTGAGAGGCATCCACTCTTCTCCCATTTTTTTTGCTGGCTAAAAACTTTTAGCTTCCCCTTGAGTTTCAGGCTCAAGTTGATTACATCTACTTATTTTGACTGTTTTGCTGTTTTTTTTTAAAACCATGGGTTAGGTTAGGTTTAACGGGTTAGAGTAATATTTTCCAACATTGGTAATTTGAATATATGTGGATTTCTGCTCCCAGAGATCATCCAGTTAGCAAGCTGGTTGGGAAATTTAGGTATTTGAAGTCTACACATTCAATTTTCCAAGTTGAGAAACACTAGGTTAGCTTTAGGTTTGGGATCATTGATCAATAGTTGATAGTTACTTTTCATCTTCAAATATATGTGTACGATAGCCATGATAACAAAAATCTCAGACCAGTTGATTAGGTCCATGGTGGGCAAAACTTTTCAGATGAGATTTTAATACTGCTGGTAGGGGAAAAAAGGAAGAAAGCTTAAAAATCAACCTACAGAAATTTATGTATGTGCAAATGCTATGAGGGTCTTCTAATTATTTAAACTCCTTGATGCTAGTTGTATCCTTCACAGTTGGATCAATGGCAGATTGTTTAGGATCATTGTAGCTTTATAGTGCACATTATAATGTCTTCTCTACCTTGCTTACATTGTAGAGATAAAATAAAGGAATCTCCATGCACCAAACAGGATTTACTTCATTGAACATATAGGTGATGTGACGATGCTAAAAAAATAGGAATTGCACCCAGACTTATATACCACTTCATAGCACTTTACCACCCTCTCTAAATGGTTTACAGAGTCAGCATATTGCCCCCAACAATCTGCATCCTTGTTTTACCGATCTCAAAAGGATGGTCAACCTTAGTCAGGATCGAACTGCTGTCAGTCAGCAGAATTAGCCTACAATACTGCACTCTAACCACTACACCACCAAGGCTCATGCATGAATAGGGTGTCCATATTTAAGGAGAACCTTCAATATTTTCCTTTTTAAATAGACAAAACATAAATGCTGAAGATCATTTTTTTTTACTCTTACAGAGCAATTTCTTTCTTCTTTAATGTCATTTTGGACAGAAGAAAAAAAAGTGCTGTTGTTTAGAAAATCATAGTTTCTGAGCTAATAGGAATAAGAGATTAATAATAGAGATTTTGTTATAAACAAGTGAAATATAAATAATCTAATTATTAACACAGTAAAATTACAGTGAAATTATTAGTATTCCTTTAAGCTGTCATGGACAGCTTAAAGGAATAATATTGTAGAACCGCAAACTGCATATCTGCACATGTTGAGCATGTCAGGATTTGCATTCAGCTTTTCCTGCTCATCAAAATGAGACAAAACGTACAAGCTACTTTACTTCCTTAAGGAATTAACAAAACTATTGGAATTGTGTCAGGAAGCTTAGTATTCAAAGATGCCCTTAGTTTATCTGTGATGGAATAATAGCTTTTCAATTGTATTGTTCCTGTTCCAGTTCTTGCTGTTATTTGTATCCTGCCTTCAGGATACCTCTCTGTTTTTAATTTGTGCACAAATTAAAACCATTTCTGAACAAAGGTGACCTTACAGCTTGGTGGTATTTGAAAGTGGTGAGTGCTTTGTGTAATTTTTGCATGGGAGAAATAGCATTGCATGAAATTTTCATTGCCTAAAGAACAAATGACTTTTGCTTATATGTGTACATAATTTTCCTGGATCTTAATTGCCATCCTTAGCTAGTTGTAGAGTAATTGTAAGCTCATTTTATGTTCAAGGATGGTTTTATTGGTTTTATTTTATTTTATTTTATTTTATTTTGCTTTCTCTTTTGCTCTCTTTTTATGATTGCGGTACTATTTTTTTGAAGATCGCAAATTGGTCAGAGAGAAAATAGCTGAGGCTATTGAAAAAGATCAGCTTTTGAGTTCTGAACCTGAACCTAGTGAATACAGTACAGAGGATGAGGAAGAACATTTAGCAGCCGCTGAAGGTAAATTTGAAGGTAAATTTTTATTGTTGCATGGAATCTGTCTTCAATATTTCTTTCTAGTTCAATGCTGTGTCTATTTGATGTTTTACACCTTATATTTTATATTTTCATATTTTTCTTCTTTTTCTCTCTTCCATAGGGGGAAAAGGTTTCTCAATCACTACTGTCTTCCTCGGGAAATAGTGATCTTTGAAGCTGCTTCACCTTCAACCCCTTCATTACACACATCTCCCTATGGGCAAAAAAACTCTTATACAGGCAGGGAACACAGATATAACTTAGGTCAGGAACAACAACTGTAGATTGCATTGGGCATTCCCCAGCCTTAGAAAGCAGAGTTTTCTAGAATAACCCAGATCAGTGTTTCTTAAAATTGGCCATTTTAAGATGTATGGACTTCAACTCCCAGAATTCTCCAGCCAACATGAAGTCCACACATCTTAAAGTGGCCAAGGTTGAGAAAAACCGGCCTAGATTATCTTTGCTGGCATAATATCTGATATTTGGCTGCATAGTTACAGCCTTTTTTCCTGGGTCAGTTAAAGTTCAAATGAATGTAGTCAATCTGAGGTTGAATGCATCAGTTTTATCCTTTAATTTGTCAAACCTTCCCAGTTGTTGCTTATAAACACAAATAGTTGATCTTGTCATTAATGGTGATAAGATTGTATCACCAAATATATTCCCTGTATCTCCTAGAAGTCAACTTTTTAAAAAAGGACTCTGCCCACCTGACATTGCTTGCTTGTTCATCTCCTAGACTATCCGACAATTGTACATAGCATAT